AGAGAGAGAGAGAGAGAGAGAGAGAGAGAGAGAGAGAGAGAGAGAGAGAGAGAGAACAAAGAGATAAAGAGAATCTTTACGAATACGTACGATGATATATACCTTCTTTAAAAAATAATCTCCAATTCTATTCTCGTTTTTTCTTGCTTTTTAAGTTCCTTCTTCGAAAAAAAGAAGAATAATCAAAAAAAGAAAAAAAAGAAAAAAAAATCAAAAGCAAAGTAAAAAAAAGTAGAAGAAGAAGAAGAAGAACGAAACGGATTCACAGGATAAATATTCTTGTGGGGTCGATTCTGGTGTCGAACGACGGACGGTTGCTATGCTGGACGAACAAGAATGTAAGAGAAAGAAAGAGATAGAAAGAATGAGAGAAAGAATGAGGGAAAGAGAAAGAGGATGATGAGAAAGAGATAGAAAAGGACAGACTGACTGACTGACTGACAGACAGATACAGAAGAGAGAAAGAAAAAGGAAAAAAAAAAAGGGATAGATACGAACCAAGGCACAGTATTTTCCAAGCTTGTATGAGTTATTGAAAGAAAGCAAGAAAACAAGCAAGAAAGAAAAAGAAAAAGAAAAAGATAGAGATAGAGAAGAGATACAAAATAAGGTACAGTATTTTCCAAGTTCGTATGATTTATTTGAAAGAAAAAGATAGAGAAATAAATAGTGTACGTATAAGCAAGCAAGTATTCAGAGATTACATAGAAGTAAAATGAGTTAAAAAACAAAGTTTCTAGTGTGTATCCTGGTCGTTTAACCGGCAGCCGGATTTCTCGAGTCGAACAAACCGAACAAACGAATAAACGAACAGACCCATCAACTAACGAACGAACGGGAGGACGTAGGAATACTAACGGTAAAAGTATGCCTCTGGGCTGTTGTGATGTTTCTATCTTACTGCTGCTGCTGCTGCTGCTGCTGCTGCTGCTATGGTGTTGACCACTCGATGGGGGTTCAAGGACAGACGACGGTAGGAATCAAGTGGCACACCACACACCGTACGTGAGAGGAACTTCGCGTATTGCCTGCTCTTACCAGAGTGCGAGAGCTTTTATAAGCTTCGAGACGAAGTAGTCGTCCCCACGTCAAAAAGAAAGAAAGAAAGAGAGTAAGAGAGAGAGAGAGAGAGAGAGACAAAAAGAATGACGTAGACCACGATGACGAGGACGCTTCGTTTCGCCGTTATCGCGAGCCCGACACTGGTTACCCTGCGATTTCCACGCTTACAGTCTGCCGACTAGCTAGGCTTCAGGATACAATCGAAGGGGGTGGGGAAGAGAGGAAAGGGGTGGGGGATTGGTTAGTCGGTCGGTTGGTTGGTTGGTTGGTTGCTTGGTTGGTTCCTTGCTTGCTTGCTTTCTTTACTTGTGTCCAACAATTTTCTTTGAATTGTCCTCGGAGAAATCAAAGTATAAAATTGTATGAGAAATGTTTGCTATTGTTCACGCGTTAAAATAATTCGAATGTAGGGAAAGGTAATATAGGGGGTTATGGGTTTAAAAATTGATCGATTATGACGTGATCTTTTAATGTGCGATGATTCAAATATTAGAAATATTTTTAAATTAATAGAAAATATATTAATAATGCGTTGGAATGAAAGTGGGTCTTAAATGTTTAGGATAGTTAATAAATAGCAAAGAAATATTTTTAACGATGAGAATAAATATCAATTATATATAAATATTCTTTTTTTTTTTAATTTGAATTTGTTTGATTTACAGGTAAAAATACGACTTAGGATCATAATTATCCTTTTAGTCGTGCGATATTCACTTATAATATTTTTTTTTGGATTAGTTATTGTTTTTTAACCCCCCTCCCCACCGGTCACCCTGCCACCACTACTAGCACCTTTTTTGTTTACCGTAAAGCGCGAAATATGAAACGCATCGTAGCATCATCCTACCATATGAGACGGATGTCCGTCTGTTACCCCTTTCTCTCCCCCCTCCTTCTTTCTCTCTTTCTCCTCTCTCCCCCTACTCCTCCCCAGTACCTCTCTGCATGTCTGACTATCTTCCTTCCTTTCTATTTATTTTTATTTTTTCTTTTCTTAATGTCGAGCGTGCAAGCAAAACCAACTCCTTCTTTTTCTCACACTCTTTCTGTCCCGTATTTCTTTCTTTCTTTCTCTTACAATCATTGTCTGTTTTCTGCTGTGTTCTCTCTCTCTCTCTCTTTCTCTTTCTCTTTCTCTTTCTCTTTCTTTCTTTATCTGTCTTATTATTCACACAGTTGAAGAAAGAGTTTTGCAAGAGATTAACGACGTGGCCACAACCACCACCACTACCACCAACCACCACCACCACGACCATATTCTCCTTCCATTTTTTATTTCGTTTTCTTTCATCGTATTTTTCTTATTTTTTCTTTATTTTTTTCATGAGTTCAACACCAACTTGCCATTAAATTTTCTATCTCTGACTCTCTCTCTTTTCCTTTTCTTTTTATATTTTTATTTGATTTTCCTAGGGGTGTCGTTTTCGAGGAAGAGAGGAGGGAGGAAGGTAGAAGGGTGTGGTGTGGTGGGAGGTGGGTGGGAAGAGAGATAGTAAAAAAACTGACCTTAATTCGAAATACATTTTTAAGCGAGCTTGTTTCTTTGGAGTTAATGATACGGTGATTATGATGTATAACGAGAGGAAGAAGAAAAAAGAAAAAGAAAAAAAGAAAAAAGAAAAAGTGAATAAGAGAGTAAGATATGGACTAACGAACAAAAAGATTGAAAAGGGAGACATTCTGATTGGACGGAAAGAGAAAAGATGATAGATCTTATTTGTATATGTCCATTAGTAATATTAAGTAAAATATGACAGAAGAGAAATGAATTTGTTAGAGAGAAAGAGAGAGAGAAAAATATATTTTTAAACGAATCATAAACGGGAATGAATACAAGAAGAGTAAGAGAGAGAGAGAGAGAGAGATAAACAGAATTAATTAATAATGAAAAAGTATAAACAATAATTCATATAACGAATTATTTTAAATCGAATTTTAAATGCACGCTTGTATGCGAATTAAAAGAAAACATAAAATTTGTTACGAATAGAATAATAACGTAACTCTATATAAAAAAAAAGGAATTAATGTGTAATAATTTGAAAAATAATATAGTAATCTTATTATTTTTCTCAAACGTTCCTATATATATATATATATACTTCACGTTTATGCGATTTAAAATCATTACAAAAATTTCACGTTATGTGGAAAAAAAAAATAGAATTTCATGAATTAACAGATTTCATACTTTAACGTTAACATATATACATGAACGAGGGCATGATTTAATCGTTTAGGTATTCACGATAGCGAATCAATATAAAAGCCATTGTCTTGTCATCTTGTTCGATATAATTTTATATTTTTTTAAATTAATATTATGTATATATATATATATACGCAATATATATATATATGTTGCGTTTTAAAACGTTACTTTACTCTAGTTGATTCATTCGAAAGATATGCATTTCTTACTTTTTTTTTTTTTTTTCTTATTTTATTTTTTTCACTAATTATTTCAGGTGTGCCCATGACGTTGATTTTATCTTATCATCGTTGATATGTTTATTATTGTGTGAGAATAAGAAAAAAAAGAAAAGAAAGAAATTAGAAAGAGAAGAAAAAAAAAACATACATATATAATCGGGAATTCGAATTCGCGATAAAAAATATTCGACGAGACGTCAACGAGAAAAGAGTATTTAACTTTTCAACGATTCTCTTATCTCTCCCTCTCTCTCCCTCTCTCTCTCTCTCTCTCTCTCTCTCTCTCTCTCTCTCTCTCTCTCTCTCTNATCTCTCTCTCTCTCTCTCTCTCTCTCTCTCTCTCTCTCTCTCTCTCTCTCTCTCTCTCTCTCTCTCTCTTTCTCTATTCGCTTTCTTTTTTCAAGAATACATATATATATTCGAATGAAATCATTTTTTTTATAATCAGTATTCGTCATTCTCTCTCTCTCTCTCTTTCTCTCTCTCGATATCAGTAATAAAAAAAAAGAAAAAAAAAAAAAAAACAGACGATAATTCACGTCTTATTAAATACTATTTTTTATTTCTTAGAGTATATTTTAATCTTGATTAGTATCTATATTGTCATAATTTCTTCTAATATATTATTTTTAGAATGATAATCTAGAATCATATAATGTGATATTATAATAGTATACATATAATATTGTACAGAAAATCGATTATATGATAATCGATTATCCGAATGATCATTTATTCGTATGATAGAATTAGTCACATATGTTATGAATTGTATTTCAAGTTATTTATTTAACAATGTTTATCTAATGAGACACTTATCTCAACTATTTTAAATACTTGAGTATATAACTCCCCCCTTCCCCAGATAATTGTATTTTATTTTTGTTAAACGATTCCCTTTAAGATGAGGGAAAATTGCACGCCCTTTGCACCCCTCCCCCCTCATCAACCCTTTTGTAACATAGATATAGTTTTGTACTATAAATAATTAACACTTTACATTATTGTATTATACTATACCCATGTTGTGTAACGTTCTATAGTATTATATTATATAATATACAAAGATATATGTGTAGTTGTTGATTATATTAACACAATAACGAAGCGTGCGTGTTATGCGCGTTATTAATAAAATTTCCAATGTTAATTAAAAAAAAAAAAAAGTATTAGTCAAATAAAATTTAAAAAAGAAAAATAAAAACACGTCATGCACGATTCATCGAATTTCTTTGTAGAAGAAAAAGAAAATAAAAAACAAAATGGTATTATAAATCTTTTTTCTTCATAACATTCTCTCTCTCTCTCTCTCTCTCTCTCTTTCTTTCTCTCATTAAAACTCGTTATTTCAAACGAACGATTAAAATTAACAAAGCAAACGAGGACAAATGAATTATTATTATTATTATTATTATTATATGCGAGCTTGCACGTAGGAGAAATTTGGTTTGGTATTTTTTTGGTTTTCTCTCTTTTTTAAAAATTTGTTAATCAACACAACACCCAGCATATGTTTGCGAATGTTCGATATATATAAAAAATATATATATATATATGAACAATATGTGAGCATAAAAAAGAAAAGAGTAAAAAAAATGATAACACGTTTTCATCATACTCTGACACATTCTCTGATATTTTTGAATAATGGCGGACCTTGACTTGGCCATCACGTGGTGGTGTAATTCGAAATTGCTTCCGTTGTTTCTCTGGCTCCTTGTACGACTCGAAAAATTTGAACTTGTTCGAAATATCCGACGTCTCGACGTGAACCTCCTCGGTTGTGTCTGAACTTCTTATGACGTCGTCCGATACTTGACGAACCATAAACGCCTTTTCTCCAAAGGTGTTATTGTTATTTACGAGATATATATATACTTTTATTCATTTATCATTAGAATTTTCTATTATTTTTTTCCCCTGTGTTTTTATTTTTTCTTTTTTAAATTTAACTACATATCTAAAGATCTTCCTAAAGTTTTAAAGAGAAATGTGCTAAATCTCTTTCGTATATATATTTATTATAATAAAATTAATATTTTTTTATTTTGTTATGGGAATCAATTTTGTGTGAATTGAAAATTTGAATATTCATTATTTTTTTACTATTTTGTATTGTAATATTGTAATGTGATGAAATATATAATGCATAGTTGTGTATGCATTTAAAATATGTATAATATTGTATCTATATATTGTATGTAAATTTAATATCATTATTTTACTAATTAATTTAATATATATTTATAAATATATTTATATTCTATATATAATACATATTATATTAAATCACATTATAATAATATATCACAAAAATATATTGGTTATTTTTTTTTTGTATTTTTCTAGTTACCTAGTTACCTTTTTTAATTACCTAGTATAACATTGATAATAAAAAAAGCAGAGTCAGCACATTTTTCCGATTTATAATATAATACGTCGTTGAAAAAATAAAATAAAAATTAAAACAAATAGAATCAAATAATACGAAAACGTAACACAGAGAGAGAAAAGGAAAAAAGAAAAAGAAAAAAAGACAAAAACTTACGTCACGTGCACGTCTAGGTGTGTCAGCCGATGGTTTTGGATTAACCGGAGTTACAGGGCGTCCAGTTTTTGCTGCTGAAGCATCGAGTTCTAAGAAAAGTGATCGTGATTTTCGGCTGATACCTAAAAAAAACGAACGAAAGAAAATATTTTAATAATTATTATAACATATCGTAAAAATAAATGTTATATTATGTGTGAGATTAAATTCTTATAATTAAAATAAAATCAAATGAAATGAAATGAAATGAAATAAATTGAAACACCCACCCGCAGCGATGACCTCTTCATCGGCCTTCTCCGGTTTTGGTTTTGTGTTGTCAGTTTCATCGTCCGATGCTGCGATAGGTTCCCCTCTTTCGAATCTTTCTTTGATAGAACGAGCGTGGGTCGAATGTTGAATTTCTTCCGCGGCGTTTATCTTCGTTACCCGTTCACTTCCGGCAACCGCTTGCTGGTACATTTCCTTCATTTTACCTTGTTTGCCCTGAAACAATTAAATTTAATGGCGATGATATATTATTTTTCTCTCCCCCCCCCTTTTTTTTTAAGAATAATAATATAACCATTTTATTTTTCTTTGTGATATTTCTTTCTACGTAAAAATGTTTTACATACCGATTATTCGATAATATTTCTTTTTTTTTATTTTTAATGAAAACAAATTTTACTTTTATTCGTTTGTCTTTTGTTTTAATCGATAATCCCTCGTTTTTTAATATTTCAACAGTTTTGTCTACAATATATCTGCGTTTAATTGAAAGATATGTATATATATTTAATTAATAATTACCATAAAAAGTCTGGAACGTATTCCAGCAATTTCTTCCTTCCTAGCTTCACGTTGAACCTCGCGTCTTCCTTGTTGACTGGTACTTTCCCATCGATTTTTAATATCATCCATTTTGGAGAAACTTATCGGACGTTCGCGAGTAGTACGTTTCGCTTTCACGATTTCTGTATCAATCTCTGAAATAAAAGAAAAGAAGATGTATATATATATATATATTTCTTACTCTTTACGATAAATATATTCTTCCTAAATACAAACAAAAATTTTTATGGTTTTGTGATAGTTACGACGAGAAAAGAAATTGTTCTGCGTGATCATTAAAGTGATATAAAATTCACTTAACTATAATACGAATAATACATTTATATTTTTATATATATAATATTAGAATGAACCAAAAGTTCGTGAGAGTTTATTGTGTTATAAATTGCACAATGGATCAATTTTGTAAAATTTACATTGGAAATATTAATTAAAAAAACGCATAAACTTTTGATTAATCCCTAATACAATGAAACATGCTCATTGTCACACTCAAACACACCCTCTTCTCAATTCTTTCTCAATTCCAATTAAGTGAAGTATTATTATCAAGAATAAAATTAGCAATACATTCATCGTATCGTTTTTTCTTTTCGTTTTTTGTTAAATCAATTACTTCGCGAATAGAAAAAAAAACACAACCACCCATCTACCCACCCACCCGCAGACACACACACACATACTATATATATACTTATTCTAATTTTACTGAACAAACATTCGTTTTTTTCTTTTCGATAAACGATGATTTCTTAACGTTGGACGTCACAATAAGATAGAAAAAAAAAAATCTAAAAAAAATCGTATAAACACCTTCAATTTCTTCTGTAGCATCTTCCTCCTCGCTCTCGCTGGATTCTTCGTATGGTATTCCATTAAGAGATTCGTCCGCGACCCCGATGTCCATGCCTTTTGCTTGAAACCTGAACAAAGAAACGTACAAACTGGTTACAAAGAGTTTGCTCGGTGGCATGTTTCGTAGTAGCGGGCGAGTCATTAACTCGAAGTGACCGCTGCTAAAGCAGCGTTTCCCTCCCACCATCACAACCATCACCACCACCATCATCACCCACCCCCTCTCGATCGACCTCAACAAAATTGCTGATCTTAAGGTGATATGTAATACGATCAACTTCTTCTTATTCTTCTTCTTATTATTCCTTGTGTCAGATTGTTAGTTTCGTTATCATCGATAATTATAACACACGCGCGAAATTTTTTCATTCATTTAAATCTGACGTTTATTAATCGATGATAATAATTTGAATATTTTGTTAAAGACAAAAAATATAATTATAATCATTTAGGATGATTAATTTATATCGAAATAGTGTCCATAAATATTTATTGTATATAATAAACGGTGGTTATAATTATTACGAATAAATGAGAAATATTGTACGTAAGATTATAATTATTTTCTGTTAGACAAATATTATATTTAATAATTTGTTACTTTAAATAAAGTACATCCCTTTTCGGTAATTAACGTTCACGTGAATCACATATAAATAGATATTCTTTATTATTTTTTTCTTTTATTCGTACTTATTCGATCGCAATATCACATAATTACAATAACAACAACAACAATAACAAAGTTGATTCGTTTCAAGTTGCATGTAAGATGGCGAACGGAAGGTTGTAATAATGTTGGACGAGTAAACCAATCGTTTTTTAACGATCGGTGTGTTATTCGTAGAAATCATCGTCATTACAGAGAAAACGTCGGATCAATAAAATTACATACTCCTTTGATATCTGTCCTTTAAAAGCGTTGCCGTATCTGTGTCACGGTTCAACAAGATTACATATATATAAATATATATGTTACCGTTAAAGCCAGAAATCGATTTATAATTCAAAAAAGTATTCTACGCGTAGATGAAAGAGTGTACTTTAATTTAATATAAAAATCATTAAAATCCGTTTGTTAAAAGTATAAAAAATATTTACCAAAATTTTTCAAAGAAATTACAAAGATGCACAATTTACAGCATCGCATTCTCTGACATTTTCTGAACTTTACATGCTAAATTTATAACTCGATATGGTATTCTACGTGTAGACAAAAGAGTGTACTTTAATTTAATATAAGTTTTATTAAAATCTATTCACTTTTAGTATAAAAAATATATACCAAAACTTTTCAAAGAAATATCAAAGTTGTACAATTTATAGCATTGCACAATCTCTGATATTTTTTTGAAAATTTTCTGTACATTGACGGTAACATATATATACAGTATATATATCCTATACACAGTGTCTTACAATAAGTTAAATCAGATTACTTAAATATTTTCTTCATTTTGAATAATCGTATTAAAAGAAAAAAAAAAAAGAAAACTTCGATAGTAAAAATAGTTGTACTATTCATTTTAGGAAAGGGGGTGGAAGAAATCTAATAATAAAAATAATTAAATACAATATAATTGTTTTAACATGAACATAATACATTATTAAGAAAGTAACTCTAATAATAATTATTTAAACGTTTAGAGGAAAACATTTGTAATACAAATGAATCGATTTAATCGAGTTTCAAAGAAGAAAAGTTCTCTCACAAAAGCTAAGTAACTATATATATATATATATATACATACATACATAAAGGTGTGGCAAATGCTATTATGGAAACACGTAAGAGAGAAAAAAGGAAACAGATAGAGTGATAGGTTTATGTTGTTCAGAATGAGAAAGAGAAAGAAAAAGAAAGATAGAGATAATAAGAGAGAGGGGTGATTAGACATTAAAAAACATAATATCGATTTATTACTCACTTGGCAAGTTTGCTGAGAATACTCGGTGATCTTTTCACGGCTATCTGAGAGGGTGATTTTTCTATCTCGTTTGTATTTTCCGTACCAGCTTTTTCGAACACTTGGAAACGAGACTTTACGTTCAAACTTGACAACTCTTCCAATCCAAGATCCGGTTTGTCGGATGCTGAAAAATTTACAAGTAAAATATTACTTTTGTAATTCGTTGTATTCTTATTTTTTTTTGTTCTTTTTTTTTCTTCTTTAATAAATTTTAACATATCGAGATGGGCAAGTAGAGTTAATATTACAGTTATTATTGATACGTGTTTGTATATATATATATAATATTTGATTTTATTAATATTATTTGGAACAAGATATACCGTTGCAAATAAAAAATAAATGTGTTCGTTTTACTCCGTTGACCATCTCTCTTGTAATTTTCTTGTGACACATACACAACACTCTGATTATTATTTGAAAGCATTGAGAAAACGTTGATTAGAACCATTCGTGATTTTTCCGCCCACCGTTTAAAAACGGCTAACTTGCAATTACACTGAACGGTTAGTGAGTGAAATTCTATCCTTTATCATTCACCTAATGTTACTTATTTCATTTCTTTTATTATATATTTTATTTCTCATTTTATTTTATTTTAATTTAATTTGTTTCACGCAACATATTGTATGCACAAGCAAAATATAAAATTTTGTTCTTTGGCGAAAGCCAATATACGTTTATTTTCACTATGGACGAACATATGTTGTATATGTAGTTAAAAAAGTAAGGATTACAAGTAACATTTTTTTTTTTTAATTTAAAATAAGTGCACAACTACATTGCATTTGCAATACTCGGTTTGTATTTGTGCATGTTTCGAATTAAAAGAAAAAAAAAATAAATAATATTTCTTGAACACTATTCCTTTACTTTTTAGTCAGACAAATAAATCTAATTAAAATGAATCTCTAAGTTTATATATGTATAATACAACATTCGTATAAAAGTGTTGAGCGCGACAATTTTGTTTAATAATTTTATAAACAATAATAATAAAAATGTTCTATCAGTATTACTATATTGTTATGTACATATATGAATATATATTTCAAGGTTATTTATTATAGTTTAAAACTTACTCACATATAATTTATATGAAATATTGTTCTTTATATTCGATAGTATAACTTTATTGATTTACACTACACTAGTCAATAATTTTATTATAAAAAATTGTAATATTAATTTATTAAACAATATATATTATGATTCATAATACGATTATTATAGAAAATTGAATCGTTATATCGCAAAATAAGAACACGTAATGTTAGTTACAATAACTATTGACACTTACGAAGCAACTGTAACATTATCTATGTTCTTAGAAAGGTATTCTTTGTTTGTAAACCAGAGAGAGTAACGATTAATCACATAATCAATGTGATTTCGATTTATGTTTATCACCGAATCCGACGTAATATTATTGTAAATAAATTTAAAGAACGTTTAACGGAGATAAGTTTTGAACTGCGAAGAATAACCTTGAAATACCAATATGTATATTTAGGCCAATGGGATTCATGATGAAACGGGTTCCATTTTTAATCAAAGTAACATCAGTTGTTTTTTTTTTAAATTTTTCACAGTTGTAAAGCTCGTTTAACAATAGAACTATACTTAAGTAAAAAGGGTGACATAATTAATGAATTAAATAGCATTATTATAATTAAAAATGCTATACATGAATTTAAATATAATTGCTCGGACACACACTGATTTACAAATAATATATTCATAATTGCATATGCAAAAGTAAACGTATAGACTTCTGCAATAATTATTGTTAAATCGTGAAAATAATAAAGCGTCTTATCGAAAACAAAACGTAATATTGTTGCATTTGATCACTCATATATTTTTGACAAATAATTATTATATACTCAACAATTTTTCGCGCTAAACAAAAAAATAAATTATACGTTTAATTACGTTTGTGCAATTATTTACTCGTAAAAAGAATTATAAAATGAATTATTCGTTCGTCAACCACCTTAAAATGATTCTTAAATGATTCGATGACGAAAAATTAGTATATACGTGTACACACTACAGTGGGATTAGAAAACAAAATGTGGTTAAATATGTTAAACATAATAATATATAATAATAATAATTATAATATATAAATATTATTACAATTATATATAAATTGTTGACATAAAAATTTGTTAAGTGGGGTGTCTGGGTGGGGGTTTGGGAACGAGTTAGAAACGATTTTGCACATTTTGCTCACACTGTGTTCCACACACCGGACTTTACCTCTGACCACATCAGGCGGCAGCTCTTTAGGTTCGTTCTCACGTATGATCAGCTCCGGTTTTCGAGGTCGCACTACGAAGTTCACAAGACATCTCTTGGTCGCATTAACTATATCTCTTTCTTTCTTACAGCTTTTATCTTTTACCCATAAGTTACTACCCACCACTCTAACGTTCAACTCTCACTCTCATTCCCTATCAACCTTCCATATTCTCTTTTTTTTCCCACTTTCACAAAAATTTACAAAATTACTTTTACAACTTTAAGAAATTCTTTTACTCCTCTTTTCCTTTTTGTTTAAACCAAAAGAAAAAAGAAAAGGATAAAATAAATTACACATTGAGAGAAAAGATGAAGAAAAAAGATTAATAATTTAAATGAAATATAATGTAAAAATAAACGAGAGGTATTAATATAAAAGTATTCAATTATATTATTAATAATAATAATAATAATAATTGTAATAATAATGATGAATTATTTTATATTACAATGATGAAAGAAAAAAAAAATGTTTATTCTTTTTAACTTTTAAAAACCTATTGTAATATTTATTCAAATCTAGTTCAATTAATTGGTAAATAATTATAATTAATTGAATAAATCTAATATAAGATGTGTTTAAAGTTGTTAAATAAATCAAAGGTACATTGGTAAATTCACAAATTGATTTGCAATGTATCGGGCATATTGGAAATTATGAGAATAAAATTACGAATAAAAAAATATCAATTTTATTTATTTGAACTTATTGTCATAATTATCCTCACTGTATTCAAAATACGAATAAGAAAAAAAATAATAATAATAATAAAAATAATATTTGAAAGATAAAAGAATTGAACGGATTGACTTACCAGGTTGGTCAGACTCTTCGACCGGTTTAGGTTGGAAAAGTTCCTTGAAGTGGGGTTTACAGTAAAGAGTACTCTCATGGCTCTCATAATTGTCGACGTTAAGCTGCTTGCTGCACTGTACGCACCGGAAGCAATTCTTATGCCAGACCAGACCCTCGGCCTTTGTTTGTTCCATTTGGAACACGACCTTGTTGCAACTGCGGCAATTTTGGTTTGCCGCCTCGCCATTTTGGCCCACCTAAATTGAAATCGATCAAAATCATGGCGAGGTTGCTATCTTCTTCTTCTTTTTTTTTTTATTTTTTTATTTTACTTTAATTTCACACGAAATTTTATTCCATTTTTATATCGTCATTTGTATGATGCATTCATTTATATGTTGTATATATATATATGTGCATATAATATTTATGCATTAATATTTTATGATGTACTATGTTTTTGAAGTTATACTTCTTTTGGCGCGTTTTGAAAAGTGAAGTTAGATGCGACCGAAAAATCGATACCACGAAGTTGTCGATATTTATGATGCGCGGGCAAATTGAAATTATTTTTGAGGTTATGGAAGTACATAAGTATTTTTTTGTGTTTTATTTTAATCATTTTTTCGTATTTAATTATTACTCATGTTTATGCAAAATTAATATTGATATTTTTTTGCGTATATACATTTAAAGTAATATTAATAATTGAGAAGTGATTATTATTGTTACTTCTTTCAAATCTTTATATTTGAAATGATTATTTTTGTTATTGGCAATAAATCGTCTTATGCATATGACAGTTTGTAAAATTAATTTATTAATGCACGTCACACTTAAAACTCACGGCATTTAATTGTTGTTGCACTTTTCCTGCATCGACCGAACGCACGTGGAGGACCGTTTTTTTGCTCAGAGCGTCGAATTTGTTGAAACTCGATTTCTGTAAATATACGACATAATAAAATATAAACAAATTACACAATGGATTATTTAGAAAAATTGCCAATTGCGAATATCGAACATTCGTTCTTGTTCGAATGAACATATTTTCGTTCGTGGATAATGGTGTGTCCACTCCATAGAAATTAAATTTTTTTTATAAATATCGAATTAAATCGAACAGAACAAATGTAGAATAAAATTGTTGAAAAATGTAGAAGAAATTGTTGTTTTCATTAAACAATCTGTTCTATAATAATATTTAGCATAATTTCAATATAAAATTATGATTAACATTCACGATGATTTTGACGAAAACAATTTCTAACGATATATACATGGACCATCCTATATGTATATATATTATATTACAAACATTTATTAATTATATATCAATGAATAATAATTGAAATATACCTAATTTGTTTAAATGAGAATTCGTTCAAAAAATCTTCTCGAAATTAATTATATAACTTATCGAGATATGATTTACGTGAACGAACTTGAATATATTTTCTACGAATCGTTTGATACTATGAAAAAAAAAACGATACAATTTCAAATAATGTAAATATAGATATAATATAATAATTGATGGAAAAAATTTATCAAACACGTTACAAACATGTATAGATAAAAATTTACGATTAGGATGAGAAGAAGATACATATACGAGATATATAATAATTTATCATACATGAGATATACGTATACACAACATTTAGAGTATATAATAATATAATATAATATATATGTGTATGTATATAATTGATTAATATTTTTTATTAACATAAATTTATTTCCTGTCAATCCAATATATAAATTACGAGCGTCCTTGACGTAGTATAAAAATTTCTCTTTTTTCATTTTTCGAATTACTATTATATAACTGTGTGTGTGTCATTATTACCAACCCATATATATTATATACATATACANATAACTGTGTGTGTGTCATTATTACCAACCCATATATATTATATACATATACATATATATATACTTTTTTTTTTTATTTCTTTAAGTAGATGATAATGACGATGAAAGCCTCTGTCTTTTGATATTTTCAAAATTAGCATAAAGCGAGATAATATATTACTTTTTGTAATAATAATAAAGCTGTTAGGTTAATCTTACAATTAGAAATAAATTGAGAAGGAAGAAAAAAAGCCAAAAAAAAGAAAAAAAAGAAACAAAAAAGAAAGTAATTCGCAAATGAATCGTCAGGCTTCTTACCTCAAACCTCGGCCTCCCAAGAACTCGATCCTTCTTTTTACCCTCGCTTGTTAGGTTTGCCAAACTACAGTAGGAAGCCCTCTGTTCGGAGGTAGATTTTCGTAATTTTTCGGTTAGGATTTCATGCACCGTTGCCAGAGAGAGAGAGAGAGAGAGAGAGAAAGAGAGAGAGAGTGTGTGTAGGGTAGTCATCGAACAAAAAGAAAGAAACAACACACGGTCTCCTGGTTAGTTGCGTGGTCAATATTTTTTGTTTGTTTGTAAAAACAAGCGCATTTTACCTTGATACTCGGATCTGAAGGTGCAGTGATCGGTTCTCATTTATTCTTATTTATTATTAATTGTTAATTCATTAGTAATCTTTTTATTTTTTTTTTCATTACCTGATAAATGTCAGTAGTTTGTTTTATGTGTTTTTTTTTCGGTCCACTTTAATGTATAAAGATAGAATATTATTATTGATAATGTTTAATAAAATAATTTGCCAATTGGAAATTAACTTTCCATATTTCCAAGGATGGTGTAACTATCTTTTTGTATTTTATTTTTTGTAAATGTTTATAATGAAAATGAAAATATTAACTTATTATATTTGAAAATTTGGCCCAATAAAAACAAAAAGATGAGAATTGTTTAATATTTTATATGTAATATATCTATAAATAAATAATTATGAATTAACTTAATTCAAATAATTATTTATTTGTTTTGTTTATACCTTATCAAAAATATATTTTATAAAAAATAAAAACGTAGTAATGTAAGATGTTTTCTCAATGGTTAATATTTTCGATGGGAAATATTTTTAGGGTGATGGCAAAAGGGGAAAACAAGATTAAAGCAAGCCTTTCGGACTTATCCCATGGCAATAAAGTTACGACATCGAGTTATGGGTTTCTTTTTTAGAATGGGTGAGGATTATTTGACCGAGCGCTGCACCAACAGGGATAAAAAAAAATAATAAAAAAAAAAAAAGAAACGTATAAAAGAAGAAAGAGAAAACGACGACGCGTTGAGAAGATGAACACAAAATTATTTTATCAATTTGATGAGATATAAATTTCTAAAAGGACACGACATGACTTGCAATAATTATTTTTAAGAAAAAAAAAAAAAAAGAAAAAAAAAACTATCTATCTGTAATACGTTACGCGTTAAGAAACAAAAATCACATAAAATATATAATAAAAATACGACAACGACTCACACAATCCATCGGAGAATAATTTTGAATCATTTCAAGTACTCTACTCAATGTTATTAATACTAATTAGTAAAAATACATTGTATATGTGTGTGTGTGTATGTGTCCACGTGCGTGCGTGCGTGCATGAAAGGATACAAATTTTAAAATTTTATTACAATTTTAAATATACCATCTCGTAACAATAAGTATATTATACATAAATAAAAAAAAAAAAATGAGAATGATAGATACAAAACGAGAAATAAGAAAGAAAAAAATACGACACGAAGAGAAAGAGAAAATAAAAAATGAATTTTAACTAAAGTGTACGAAGAAAGTGAAAAAAAAAAAGAAAGGATAGAAAGAATGTTTGTTCATAATGTTATTTTTATGATGTATAATCAAAGTTTTATGCTATATATATATATATATGAAAGGATCGCGATCTTCCGCGGACATAAATTGCAAGATCACATTGGAATGATGTCACAGATCGGAACGAAATCCGTAACCGGTCGGTAACCGATAAACGGAGCGTGCGCAGAACTCGCAAAAGGTAAAAACTTGTAATCGGTGTACGTACGCACCCGATTCTCCTCGAGTCTCGTGCAACGTTGACGTAAAGTAGGGCAAGTAAGTAAGTACTAGGTTATTATCATGTCGGCCCTTCCTTAAATGGAGAGACAGCATTCGTGCCATGGCAATGAGAAAAAGAGAGAGAAAGAGAGAGAGAGAAGGAGTAAGTATACGACCAATGAATGCACACGCACGCGGACGAATGAACACACATGGGGGGAGGAGGGGGGGGGGAGGCGAATACACCGTGCACAAATTTCTGTTTGTGTGTGTGTGTGAATTTATTTGAACAATTTTTAAATTCGTGTATTTATTCTTCGTAATTATTTTTCTACGAAAGTAATTCGTTGATTATGATCGATATTGTTTTTGTTTTTTTGTGTGTTTTTTTTTATGTATTTAGAATTGTGAAAATAAAGAAAAATGTGATTTTGATTTTGCGTGAATAAAAGTTGAATTAATAATCGTGTCATCGTCGTCCCTTTTTTTTTTTGGAATTTTGGTTAAAAAGTACTTACGAGGGTCTTGACCGACACCCCGGCGAAGACAATTGGGTCTTTGCAGAACTTGGAGAAACCCTTCTCGCATACTCTCAGATCACCCATTGATTTTGCTTTCTACGATGGTTGAAAGCCATCAACGAGAATTTTTATTAATCGGTACAATAATCGGGATTCTAATTCGAGATTATACCGATAATTTTCTTTTTTTCTCATTGTTAGAATAAAAGAAAAAATATATTTTAAATAATAATAATAATCATCATATTAATAATAATTGTTTTGACAAAATATATATCATCGGTTTAATCTCTCATTGTTAAGAATAATTTTCAAGTTTCGTGACATATTTTAAAAAAAGAAATAACAAAACAAACACAAAGAAATGTCACCAAACTTTTCTCGTAAGAATTAATATAACGTGTTATATAGAATAAATCATTGAAACAATTCAAATCAAACATTAAGAAGCATTAACGAGTTAGTCGTATGATTCATGCAAAGATAGAAAGGAAAAAAGACAGCTAAGTATTAAGCTAAATCTACTAGCATTCACATTTTCGCAATATATTATTAAATAATTACAAATAATTATTCTCTCTGATTTTTCATAATTATTTTTTAAAAATTAAATAAAGTATTCGTACATTGGTAATATGAAAATATTATTACCACTGTACAAATACTCTTTTAGTTTTTTCT